CACTTTATCGCCGTTCACGAAGGTTTCGGTGAAAATACCGTAGAAAGCGAAGGAGAAAGCGGGACGTGAATGACGAGGAATTGCGTCGTAAACCCGCGACTGCGTGTGTAAAAATAAAGCACCGGCCCCTGGACGGACATTATACCACAATTAGATCATGTAGGTCTGAAAATACGGCTGATTTCGCCTACGAGAGATGAAACTACTCGCAATATACATATATCTATCTATTTCAATTTAAAGTCCCTTTAATCTTGCGCGACCGGGTCAGTTTATGGAGGTCACTCGTTTTTCGCAGAGAAGTTGAGACCTCAAGGGAAATCCGCGGTCTATCGGTCGTCTACGATCACCGTCGGGACCTCCATCTCGACACGGATAGAACCGGCATGGTCGGTTTAGGTACGTGTTGTGAGAATATAGAGCGCAGACCACACGTTTGACGTAACACGCCAGCATGTCACGTCGCAGGCGGGGTACGTTCACCATATAAAGATCCTATACCAGAGTTATAACAGTCTGGTCACGAGATGATAAACATTTTATCAACTCGTCGTTTTTGTCAATGTCAGTCAGTTAGAATGAATATGTAAGATGGTAATAAGCTGGAACGAGATAGCATATATAAAAAGAAACAGTGGTTGCTTTCCAGCAAGAGACATAGCGTGTTCCCAGCAGATAACACAGTGTAATAGAATGGATTACAATCTTGTTGTTTGCCAATATTAAACAAAGATGACATGATCACTTACATGTCACACCGTGTCGCTTGATATGTCGCTTGAAGGGTATATATACTTAGGAAGCATTAAGTTATATATGTATCCTTCTTTCTTACTCTTGTTTCGACAAAATTGCTCGACTTTGTTACAGGGTCTCTAGTTCACCGGGAAAAAGAAAACCCGGTGCACCGTAAACTTATCACGATGTCGTAGTGTCAACGATACGCGCCGCGACGCTCGTCGGCCGCGCGATCAAAGCGGAAGCGCGCAGACGCGCTCGACAGCTCGCGGACATTGAGCTCTTTTTTTCTTTCTTTCTTGATGAAGTGTCGTTTTTTGCTTCGTTTGATGAAGTCTGCTTTCGCTCTAGAGATTCTTCTCAAACAGCTTGATATTATGATAATGATTACGAGTTTGCGCCGCGAGGCTTTTAAAAGTTTCTTTACGGAAAGGACGGTTTTGCTGAAGTATCCAAAAATTAACGAGCTCCAGATTAAAAATAATTTTGTTAGATCATGAGAATAATTATGTAGGACGTTCAAACTGACTGCTAGAATGTCAACACTTTTTGAAGCTTCGCTCATCATATTTGAGATTCCTCTGTAATTTTGATGGTCCAACAAAATTATTTTTAGGATCTGTAATGTCTAATTTTTAGATACTTTAGATACTATAACAAAATCGTTCTTTCCATGATATCCAATGCGTTAGAGGAGGATTCCGTAAGTTTAAATTAGATTCGAATCGGCGAGATCCTTATTCGCAACTTTGTGGAATGGTCATTATTATGGGAAATAGATTTTCGGATAAACGGAGAAGGCATTCAAAGGTCCTATTATCTTTGCTCGATACGTATAATTTTCTCCTCGAATGAACCAGAATCATTCGCGCAAAGTAAAGGTTCTCCATCGCGTTCAGACCGAGCGATAAAAAACGTTTCCACTTGAAACAATTGTGAAGAGTGTCTCTTATACACTTAAATTCATAATGTCAAATTATATCTATAATTTGAGTTATTTTTAATAATTTCTATAGTAAGCTCCTACTCAATATGTCATTAATTTAATTAAAACAATAGGGTTAAACAATTTAGCTCAAGAAAGTGTAGACATTAAATTTGATTGAAATTAGTTTATTATTTATTAAATGCATATATTAACATGGACATTGTTTACGTTGAAATTAACTACAAAAGGAATTGATTTACATTTTGACACACATGGAAGTTAAAAATAACAAAATGGTATTTAACTCAAGGAATTGGATTACCATGGCTCCTCTGATAGCTATTAGTGTAGACGTCTTTAAGGTATCTTTCGATCACCTTATCACGTTTGATCAGCTTGAACTCGTTACATTAGCGCGACTATCGGCAGGGGGGTTTGGTACCTCCCCGCGAATCAACTTGTGGCTTCGCGCCACCGGCTCGGTGCTCCATAGAGACAGACGGAGACGGATAAAGGAGGCACTCGGATAAGAAGAGGAGAGCGATAGGCAACGCCGGCAAGCAGGCGTGAAAGTCGGCGGCTTCTCCAACACGCATGCCTGATGCCCGCTAACGCCGTCGCGGTCGTCGTCATCGTCGTCGCCGTCGACGTCCGCTTTCATATCGACGAGCCGTGCGAGTCGCTCGCGACGACCGTCGGAATAAACCCCTTCGCGTCGTGCCGACAACGAGGATGCGCAGGGGTGACGGTTGGAAAAGAAGGTAGCGGACAGAACGAGAAGGGAAAACCGGCGGTGGTGAAACCGGAGGCGCGGCCGAGGCGCACCCGCTCACCTCGGCGTCCGTCGGAGGGGGGACAGGGGTCTGCGTGACCTGGGCCCACCACGTGTCTCTTGCTCTGACGTCGCGCTTGGCGATGCGCCTGACGCGCGTCTGCAACACGATCACCTGCCTCGACCTCTTGCTCAGCGAGCGTCGCGATGTCATTCGCAAATAATTAAAGCTACTGTCGCGGAAGGAGGGAAGATTGTCGGCGGGGAAGAGAGAAGTACGCTTGCAACACGCGAGATGTGAACTCGTGGGGACTCGGGTAGCAACGAGAACGGCGTCGTCGAGGAGATCACGGCGTTGTCGCGTAGTCAAGGAGCGGTTAAACGCGCCTCGCTTTTTCGATATCGTGGTTCCGTATGTGGAAAAAACGAAACGCGAAGTCGCGGTCGTGATACTGTCGTGACGTTCCCGAGAGATATCCGCGGGTGGAAGCGGACGGAGCACGGTAGGAAGTGCGTGCAACACGCATGCGGTTTCATTCCGTCATCCCGCGATAACGAGAGAGGAGAGGAGGAACGCGTGTCCGCGCGCGGACGGTGAACGTGATTTATTTCGGCACGCGGTAATTTCGGGACTGCGAGAGCGAGCACGAGGAGGCAGCGGACTACGGAGGAGGGGATGGTTGGACGGCACTCGCGCCGCGAGTAAAAGAGAGGCCGCGGGATAGAGCGAGAGTAAAGCCCGCCGCTTGCGTCAGTGGTGCACGCTGCGAGAAAACGGTCGCGTTCTTGAGCTGCGGTGGCGGATCATTCGTAATAAATTACGACCGCGAATGTTAGAAGGTTCGTAGCGTAAAGACAAACAACCGATATTCTGCGGGTTCCGGCTCAGATAGACGCGTGTCTGACGTTTGTGTGTGCGTGTATACGTGTGTTCTAACGGGACGGAGTAAAAGTATACGCGCTCCGATTTCGAAAGCGCGACTCCAAGCGAATGTGAGAGAGTCGGCTTGTATCTCGTAGGTAGACGGATTAAATTATTGAAATTGATCGTGACGTTGTTGCCTTTATCATTGACGTCGGAGGTTTATCGCTTAGCGAAGAAGAGATTGCACAGCGAACTGCTTTCCGATTTATCCAACGTCGTGGGATAATGCTTTAGAATATTTTGTTGCGAACAAGTGACAAAAAACTCGTCTTCGAATTACTAGTGGCCAATTACTAGTGACGCGAAAACTCCAAGTTGTACAAATTGGAGAGATAAGAAAATATTTCACGGATCAGTAGAATGTTATTCGCTCCACGATTACAGAGAACGTAACACAGAATACGCGCTAATTAAATGCAGTGCAGTAATGAAAATGGGACTTTAATCCTCTCAGATTTCCGCTGGACACGTTCACGAAATTATCGAAGAAAACTTCCGGCCGCGTGCGGCGACAAGTTTCGTCGAGGAATTCGCCGAGAGGTGAAAGAGCGATTTGCACACGGTGGTCTGGAATTTAACTTTACAGTGCATACAGTGGAATAATCCACGACGCACAATTGTAAAAACGAAGAAATCAGCTGCGATAAGCATCATCGGTACTATCTAATCGCGGAATCGCTCACCTGCGTTGTGCACGAAACGCAATCTGCTTTAATCGGCATGGCGAACGCATGTGACGGGATTAGTTCCGTAAATCTGTCGACGTCGATCGACGGTACAATGTGTCTGTTTGCGCGAAAAAACGAAGGATTATTCGGTCAATCCGACTCGATCGAGTAGAATCTCCTATTTTGGTTTTTTTCACGCGAATTGAAGGACAGTGCAACGATGTAACACGTAGGAAGTCACGAAGTATCTTGCAAAGTAGAGGACAGCGTTCACCAATCGTGATTATTTGCGTCGACCGGAAAGAGACCGATGATTACGCGAATGTTGTCGCAAAATAATTGCTAATTTCGTTTGGATTTCATGGCTGCGCTATGATTAGAGTCTAGCTTGGCGCAATCAAAAGGTAGAAGACTAGAAAGAAAGAAGAGAAAACGAAGGGGAAGTATCTTCGGCACCGAGGACACGAGAAATATCCGGCGAAAGCAGTGACAGTTTCTTGTCAATTTGTGGATAGACTTTCTCGAGCGACTTTGAGAATTTAAACTTCGGAAGAGTCGATATCCGGTGTATACACGTAAATTACGCGACGGAGAGATACGGGACCAAGCGGAGGGCAAACATCGACGACGAGCGTACGATAATCCCGCGCGAACTCACGACTAGTAGTCATCGATCGACCACGAGACGCCGTGCGCCGCGACGCTCTCTCCTCACCTTGCTATTCGGTTGTCCCCACCTGTCCCTGTCCTATCCTCGGTGTTGTGTCAGACATTTACGTATCACGTCGGAAACACACGCTTAGCGCTCTCTCCCGTCCTTTTCTTGCTCTATCTTCCCCCTCTCCCTCTGTTCTTGTCTCTCTTTCTCTCCCCGTTTCTCACCTCCGTCCTCTCTCTTCTCTCTCTCTCTCTCTCTCTCTCTCTCTCTCTCTCTCTCTCTCTCTCCATCTCTTTCTCTTTCTCTGGATCACTTGTCTTCTTCACAGATCCTATCTCCTCCGGGGTGAACCGTAATCCGCGAGTAGTCCTATTGCCAAATAGACGAGCGTGGGTCACGTTTCTCTCACGCCGAACGGTATACCGCGGTGGCTTTGACATCGCCACCGGCACACGAGGTATTGTCGCCGATACCGTAGGTGGGAATCAGTACGTCGGCGCCTATCGCGGCGTGCAGACCTCGACGATGTGTTGCGGCGCGTTCCAACGTGCGCGCAAAAAAACGAGCGACTGAACTTGGCGTCGAGGCAAAACGTTTCTCCAAACAAACCTCGAGATACCCGGGGGTTCGTTGAAGTGCTTGTCCCAATTGGTCCACCCTTCTCGCAACGATGCTGATCCCGAAATGCTAAATGATCTCTTGCGTGCTTACCCTTCGAGTCATCGGACGATTTAATCTCCAGTGAAAGAAAAAACGCGCGTGCGGTGAATTCGGCAGTGAAATTCGATGCTTCGTTCTGACACGCGGCAATTAGTCCAGCTGCTAGATATCAGAAAAGATACGTCCCCACGCGACGTGGACGGGGAACTCCCTCGTTGTGGACGCGCGCGACGGGGATTATCGGTTCATGAGGGTGTCAGATAGAAGCGGGCAAGTTCAGGTAGAAAAGCAGATAGCGCGTAAACTTCTCTATCCGATCACATCGGCGATACTTTCATCGTGCGCGTGTCTCATGTCGATGCAACTAGAACAAGAAGATACCCACTACAATAAGGACAACGCACACCTCTCTATCACGTAGACTATTCATTCGAGCGGGCGTTTTTACCGTTCTTCAGTCTCTCGACTAGAACGTTGGATAGTCTTCTGGCGAAGACTTCTAAGAGTCTGCCTACAAATCGCACAATGTTTTGCTTCCAAAGTCCCTTCACGCGATCATCGCGTGGCGTTATGTCCACCGCATCGCTGTCGAAGAACAAGTCCTCACTGACCAATGCGATTCTATCGCCCACCGCCAGAACGTCCAATATGAGCGAGAGCAACCGACGCGGTTCCGAAGCGACCAGCGAGGGCTCCAACTCTTCCATCAGGTACATCGATCAGGAGGCCTCGATGTCCGGCGGTAGCAGCACGGACACATTACCGGGTATCCGTGCTGATTACCTCGATCCTGAACCCTTATCACCTGGAGCGGACGCTCTAACTTCGCCTAGCGGCATAATGGTCGTTTTGAACGGCAACAATACCAATGACCAACAGTTTCCGATGCCGGATGAGAGCCATCAGATTACGCGTTCTCTACCGTCGCCGAAGAAGTTGAACAACAACGGCAGCAGTTGGCGTCGCAAGCTCATGCTGCGTCTTCGTTCCAACGATTCCTCGAACTTGAACAACGGCGAGATACGTTCTTCTTCGACGTCTCCCTCGCCCGCGAGCGAATCGATGGCGGAGTCTTCGTCTTCATCAAGGAATCCTCGTGTAGACGAGGGGCAACAAGGTGGCACGACCGTCTCGTCGCCGTCGGTGCAGATCGACGTGATCGACGAGAGCCCTCAGGTGGCTGCCGCCTCTGTCAGTGATATACCATCTCTGGAGAATGGTTTCAGCGAGCCCGAGGATGAAAATGACGACGAAGAGGATGAGGAGGAGGTCTCTCCGGAGACCGAGACCGAGGAGGGTTCATCTTTGCCGTCCAGCCCAGCAGCCGCGTCCACCGTCGGCCTGACTACTTCCGCGGCGCCTTATTACGACTTCCTGTCGGTAAACAGCGGTACCATGCGGCAGGAAACCACCAGTACCAGCTCGCCGCAGCTATCGTCCGGCGCGAGTTTGCGTTCCAGCGTGGAGTCACCACCTGCTGACACCTGCAGCTCCTACGGTGAGGACAGTAGCCCGGGCATGGACTCGCTGAAGCCCGAGGGCTTGGACGCGTCTGGGTGCCTGCCAGCTGCAAGATCTTGTCCGAATCTGGAGCGGCAAAGCGCCGGCTGCTCATCAGCCAGCGGCTCGTCGAGCGCGAGCCCGAGTCCGGGACCAGCCGGGCCTCGTTTCAAACCTCTCGAGGAAGGCGACATACAGATGTGCTATCTGAATCATACCCGGACCCTAGTGAAGAAGATCCTGTCCAGCAAATTCCTCAGACGTTGGGAAACTCATCATCTCTATCTTAATGATGCTTGCTTGTCCTCCAAGACGGTGAGTGTGACGTAAATGTGTCGCTTTATCGCGCGCTTGCGGTGGGATTTCCACGTGATGCAAAATCTGTTGAAATTTGACTTCTTGAGTGTCATGAAATCCCGCATAAAAAAAAGAATATCTATAATTTATCAAAATAAGTATAATAAAGTAATAATAATATTTTCTCGTTATAGTTAATCTTTAAACTAATGGTTTTGTAGTGGTAACTTCGAAAGTTATTCGCTACAAAACCATCAATTTAATGATTAATCACAGAAGCATACAATTTTTATCATCAGGTTAAGTCTAATCACTAGTTAACCAGCAAATAAATTCTTAAACTTACCACTACAAAACTATTAGTTTAGTGAGAGCTCAGACGCAATGAAAGGAATATTAAGGAATAGATTCAGAGACTAACACACTCAAGCAATAGATTGTAATCTGTTAAACCGTATACCAATGCATAATTTCTGAGTTGATATCTGTTATCTGTGTTTTATTCCCCGTTCCTTTTTCTTATTTCTTTCATGTCTGAGCCCTAATTAATCTTAGCTTAGAAAAGCACAATTTTTACATTATCATTAAGTCAAGTAAAGTTAAATTTAAACCACAAGTTAACCGGAAGATGAAAAACCGGGCCATGATAATATAATTCAATTTTAGGGTCATAGCACATAAAAAAAACTTAATCAGTAAGACGTAAGCAGTAAGGAAATCAATATGTTGGATTTCATGTTGCTACTCCTTATGTTATAATCTTACGGTCTCTAGTGCGATTAATCAATTCGCTTAACGTTCTACTGTGTAAATTTTTTGTATGCTGTAATCCTTATTCTGCGATTGATACTAAAGTCCTGAAATTCTGCTCGAGATCTCCTCTCAGATCGTTTCCGAGCTTGTTACGTTACCGCACGTAGGCGTGCTGGTGAATTTCCATCTGTTCATTTGTATTATTATCCGGATTACTGGTTACTATGGTAATCTGCGAACGATAATATGCGAACTACTTGAGAGTAAATCCTGTCGTCTAACTTTGTCTCTCAATAGGATTATTATAATTCGCAATCAACAAATCGATTTTTAGATAAATGCATAATAATGTAATTAGAAAATTACTGCTGCGAGAGAGAGAGAGAGAGAGAGAGAGAGAGAGAGAAACGGGTATAAAGAATTTAGTTATTTCTCGGTTACGAAAAGACTCGACACAACTTTGATAGCTCCAAGGACGACGATTTAAACTGTTTATTTTGGAAGTGACAGGCAAGTTTGGAGATGACAAATTTAGCTGGTATACAATCCCACGTGTCGCGTCATATCCACTTTTCCGTCTCATAATCCGATTTGCTTGGTTGCTTTTCGCGCAAAGAACGCGTTTATCGTAGTTCGTTATGTAAACTCGCAAGGCGAAGTATTCATACTTCATCATCGCGATTTGCAGTGACTTCGACGTAGAAATTCCGTGATTGAAAAGCCCGCGAAAATAATTTATCTGCTACCACCTTTTATATTTCCATTTTAATTCGAAAAAATCACGTATTAATTTTGATCACGTCATTTCACCTATTTTCAACATTTCTCTCTTCACCACGTAAATTTATTATGCTTATAAATATTTATCGATAGAAGTACTGACCCATTCACCAATTTCATTCGTCAAATTGTATAATGTAACTACTCGAGAGTAAATCCTGTTATCTAACTTTGTCTCTCAATAGGATTATTGTAGTTCGCGATCGACAAATCTATTTCAGATAAATGTATAGCGATGTAATAAAAAATTTTAATTTATTATTTATAAAAAATATTTTTTCACTTTTCTTTTTTTATTTCTCGTCATTGAAACTAACTCTAAATTTTTTAGAGTGAATTCATTCTTTTGGAATGAGATTCACTCCAAAAAATTTAGAGATTTCGTTTCAAGCATTACGAGAAGTAAAGAGGGAAAGAAAGTGGAAGAAGAGAAACAATATTTTTTATACATAATTAATTAAAATTTCTAATTAATTATTACTTTGCTATGCATTTATCTGAAATCAATCGCGAACTACAATTATCTTATTGAAAAACAAAATTAGACGACAGGATTTACTCTCGAGTAGTCCAAAAGAGATTTCATTCTTGGAATGAGATTTACTTCAAAGAATTTAGAGAGAAATGTTTACAAATTTGCCTGTTGAAGTATCGAAACTCATCAGAGAGTGCATATGCATTATTTTCGATTGCTTCATGTTGCTGGTCGTTCTTCGCGTGTATTACGATTTCTCGTTATCGGCAGTTCGGGAACGTTCGTACGTAACATACGAAACCATGGCGGAGATCGGGACCATCTCGAGTAACGATGATTACGCGAGTCTCTGTTCCTCCACTCCCTCCGCTCCTATCCATGACTCGCGTTGTATCAGAATGCAATCTGCATCGTCAGGGGCGATACAACAGCGATTTATGGCACGCTATCGTGATACACGGCAAAGAACATTGGCGATCGTGGCAACTGCACTGAAGTGCGACGAACAGCAATAGGATCCCTCCTTCTCTCATCCGGTGGGCGATGTTACGTAATTGCGAATTTTCCGGCGTGCGGGCAAGAGAGAGAAAGAAAAGAAGAGAGAAATATTGGTTGGAGAAAAAAAAACCGGCTAAATTCATTACCTTCAGCTTTCAGCGCGCAATCACGATGTTCGATGCCGATTGCCTGATTACTGAACCACCGCCGCTGCACCCCATACTTCGCGAAATCCAATTTATCGTTTCGCTTTGTAGAAGAGTCGGCTTGAAAACGCGGAGTGGAGTACTTGATGTACTTCGTTGACGTGATTGATTCTATTCCCGCCGGCGATGCATTTACCCTTCGACAAGACTTCAAGACTGTGCTCCCGTCTCGTATAATGTAATTGAACGATTTTTTTTAAATAAATTTTCCGACATTCTTGGTTGTGACTATCTCATTGACGCATTAGCATCACAAAAAGATTTCTGCACGGTTCGTCGTGTCTGTTTCTCCTTCTGTTTTCGCGGATAACAGAAATTATTTGCATGTGCGCGGGTAAAGAGTGGCAGTGCGCGTGCATGCGAAACCTCCCCGTAAACTTACACTCCTTTGAACGTTCTTTCGATGACACTACTCATTTGAACGTCTTCGTGTGACTGCGTGTTTCTTTCACCTGTGAAAGAAATAGGACTCTTTGAAATTAACACTCCCCTTTTTCAGAATTTTTTATTGTACTCGGACATGCTTTTCTCTACACACTTTTTAGAAACAATTATTAGAAACACATTTGTAGAAACAATGTTTGCGTTTAGCAGAAAAACAACTTTGAAATTGTTTTAAAATTCTTTAATATGATTAGTATTGTCCTTAGTTTCTCACTGGAACTAACATAAATGTATAAACCAATTATATTAAAGAATATAAATTACAACAATATCTTTGCTGTGTTAACGTATGCACAATAATTAGTATTAATTTATTAATTTTATATAAAAGGAGATTAACAAAGGGTCGAAATTAATCATATTCTTTTATACAATTTCCATCCAGTTGGCTTTCATGGGCTTTTTTATTGTGACCATTTATTTTATTTGGAACTTTTGTCTTTATATATTATTTTAATTTTGCAACAGTTGCAAGCTGCTCTTCTTCTATATATAAACGCAGATAATATTCAGGTATATTAGACACGACATAATTATCGCAATAATCCGATACTGACTATACAAATAAATAACAATAGTGATAACATTAGCATAGTATGTAATCATGACGTGTTGTATGTACGTCATGATAACAGGTAGAATATTTATAGAAGATGATACTTGTATCGGATATCGTCACAGAAAAAAAGAACCTTGACGATATGACAAAGACGGTTCAGCTCATCATCGATAAAACTTTGCGATCGTTCGGTAACATTCCACGATCATTTAATTGAGTCAAATTCTTGAATTAATCGTTTGTAAATGCGTCGATATTTGCGTGACAAACATTCGACACGTTACGTAGCGTGAAATTTGCACCATCTCTTTTCTTCGTCGCGAAGAATCGTTGTAATTATGTTAATTTACCGATAATTCTGCTGTTCATGTGGGCCATTGTTTGATTAGTTCGAGTCGTGCGTCAATCTTGGCTTACATGAAATTCGAGTGAAATGTCGATAACGGCAGACGACAGGAGAGAGAGAGAGAGAGAGAGAGAGAGAGGAAAAGAAAAACATGCGCCCGTTGATTGTCAATTTTAGCTATGGTTAATCGAGCGAACAACCGATAAAAGAACCGTGACTTTTCTGACGCACTCGAACAGTCAAAAAGATTGGCCTCTCGATATCGCGGAACCGTTTTGCTTCTCGGTATCAGATGCCATTAATATCATTCGATATTCTTTCTTTCTCTCCTCGTGCACGGTATTAATAAATAGATAATATCAGATGCAAATTTGTCGACGCTAAAAATACTCAACGTAAGGTCGGTCCGCATTTGTTTCGCACGTTCGTCTCGCCATGCGCGTTAAAATTGACATACGAAAGTCGAAATGAAAGCAACGTTCTATATATAGAATGCGCATAGTAGCGGTGTGGGTATGTTTAAAATTAATTATAAATGCTATTTGTGTAAATGAAGTGCTTTTATTAGCCTCAGATCCACGTCAAGAGCGCAATTAATATGCTATCGCGCGGAATTCCTAATATCGGAGTCTCGGTGAAAATAAGCAGACGTCCCCGATATTCTACGGTAATTTGCATGATTACACGAGGCCACGAATATTTTGGGATTTTTATCTGTTTCTTCTTTTTTACCGTCTTAAATATTTGGCTGGATTAACTACTAAATAATTAACGAAACGAATTTTTATTCTTCCACGACGATGTTGTAGTTCCTGGCGAACGCTGATAGCGTGCAATGTATAACATTCATTAACCAGATTCAGATCTGTTAGCATTGCCGACATGAGAGCTCATTAATAAAGCACAGGTAACTCGAATCATATTAATCGGATTAACTGGAATTTAGTGTCTATTTGA